CTGGCATTTATGTGGGTCCTAGTTGTGCCTCATTCCCTGTGCAGGGATTTCCATTAAGAGAATGAAAACTGTCTTCTACTCTGATTTTATAATCATTAAGGAACCATACAAGTTATATAACTTTACAAGTTATACATCGTATCAGCAAAAATGCCTCAATTTTATAGCTGCTACTTTTTGTCTCTATGTGGGAAGGAAATTTGTACATTAAAAATGGCTAGACAGGTTGCCCCTGCACTCACTGAAATCAATGGCAACACTCAGTCTGACTGTACAGTCATAGGACCTGAACCGCAATGAATAGCATTCCTCTGCCCTTGTCAGCTTTTCCCTTATGCATCTACACAAACACAGATTTGGATTATTTTGCTGAGCTTGAAAACAAAACAAGACTTTGAACAATTAAAAATATCCCTTCAGATAGCTTCCCTCAGAAGCTTTAGTTGACCTTCTGGGTCAGAAGATGCCCCATACAAAGTACATGTTTGGCCCCAGTTGAGGAAACTCTCTCTCCTGAGGGCACTAGGCAAAGAAGTGCCTAATTCTGAGTACACACTTAAAGTTCATTGAAATCAATACAATGGACAGTGGACAGGGCCACAAATTCTCCATGAAAAAGGCTGTATTGTTGCTCAAGTTGCTCAGTAATGAATGAAGAGCTGAGCTTTTGCCCAGGCTTTGCTGACGCTGAGAGTCTGCTGACCTTTGCCATCACTCCTCGATGTTGGTTTCCTTCTTGGGGTGCCAAGGCCATCGAAGTGTTGCTGGGAGCTGTGATTCCGGCAGCTCCCACTCCTTCTACAGCCAGCCCTGCCCAAACAGCCCCTGCACAATAGCCCACAAAACCTATGCCCTCTGCTTCAGGGACTGTGAGATATTGAAAATACAGCCCCAGCAAGACCACACAGGTAGGTTCAAGTCATGTATGTATTCATCGTATGTCTCAGAAAACAACTCTAGAGTCCCAATTCCAAAATCTGGGATGGGTTTCCACAACAAGGTAGCATCTGCATTACTTTTCCAGGTATTGTAATTGTACATCACTGAACACAACAGGTAACTAGTTTCAAGCCCAGTGGCATGGCACATTCCTTGTTATGACTCAAACAGGAGCAGCAAAAAAAGAACCACCTGTATGAACCATAAGCACTAAAAGCTTAAAGTAAAATCACAAGCAGGTGCCAACAGAAGAGAACTGATCAAGACATACACTGTAAATTCAACATTTCCATCCATGACCAACATCTGCTCATTGAAATGGAGCCAAAGATGCAGCAATAAGGACTTTCAAAGCCACAGTAGTCCCAGGAATCCAAACATTTATGGGAAGACTTGGAGTTTCATCTTAAAGAATGTGATTAACCAAATAAGGACAGCAAAGACTAAAATATATAAACGATGACTTCAGAGGAGGTGTTAATAGCACTAGTGCCTAAACAGTGATTTTCTTAGAGTTTGGGAATTTCCTATTATTTGTGTTTTCTATGAATTTGTTTGTTTGCTTGGGTGGGGGGCACTTGGGTGTTTTTTTAAATAAAGGTGCTAGACATTGTTTTTCCTTTTTTTCTTTAAACAGGCAACACATTTAACACAGGATTAAATGATGTTGACTGTGGCCGTACTTAACCTCACCAGCCTGTTTTCTTTAGCTGGATAACAGCTGAATCATTAGCATTAAACTAGTTTGCAATCCTGAAAGCATATAGCAAAAACAGAGTACATGTTTTTTCCATCAATCAAAACACAACATAAAAGATATTTGAGATCCCACCAGATATTTCATTTTATACCCATTGGATGTAGTGTTTTGCATGATTTAGGAATGGACTTCATTTTTTTTAAGCACATTTCTAGTAGAATGACAGGGCAAAACAACTACTTAGAAGTTCTTAAACTGGATATTTTCACCTTTTCTTCCCCATTTTTCACTGAATTGTGCTTTCTTTTTCCTACAAGAGAAAATACTAAGGGTTCTACATAAAATACACAAGACATATGAATAACTTTCTGCAATCTAAGAGATCAAAACAACACACCTTTCCACCGGAGCATGCTCAAGTACATCTTTCTCACAGTAGTTGATGTTTTTGCTGTGTCAGCTACTAGAAGTCACTTGAACTGCATGACAAGCCAGTATGCAACAAGGGTCTGCAAATGTAGCCATAAAATATGCTGTTTTCACCATACTAGCACGCAGAAGAAAAACTGTCCTGTTCGTAGCCATGTACCCATGATCTCCTTCAAACACACCCAAATGCACAGACTTATTATCATTGGCCAAGGAAAGCAATGCTGGGTATAGCTAAGGTGTTGGTGATCACTGGTGAAGAAATAGCAGGTTCGTAGCAAAGCAACAGACTGTCATCATGGTGGCTGCCCTCACTCCTTTCTCACCTTCACCTGGTACACAATTTATCACATGCTAAGAAGCAGTGCTGTGGGATCTCTGTGCTACAATATCAGCCAAAAACACTGAGTAAATGATAACCCTAACAACCTACTTGTAATTCCCTTTGGACTCTCTCATAAATACCAGCTAGCCAGCACTGGTCTTTAAGAAGTATTTCTTCAGGGGAAAATTGCACCTCCAGTG